GACCGGTCACGGCCGCCCGGAGAGATCAGGCCCCCGGCCAATCTCCGGACACTTAGCCTCCTTGGCGGGCCTCCAGGGGGTTTGAGGCGGGCTTGAAGCCTGCAGTCGGTCTACTGACCGGCCCGGCCGGCAGGATCCGTCGAGAAACAGGGGGGTCAAGGGAGCTTTTCTTCCCCCTGGGAGAAATGTCCTATGGGTTTTTGGATCTGCGATATAAAAAAGTCTTGTCTCGGTCACGTGATGTGTCACGTGACCGGTCAGGTGAGCCTGTCAGCCGGGTCACGGACCCTGTCAGCCGGCTGACATGTCACGGGCCTGCTGACACGGTCCGCTGACCGGTCACGGCCGCCCGGAGAGATCAGGCCCCCGGCCAATCTCCGGACACTTAGCCTCCTGGCGGGCCTCCAGGGGGTCTGAGGCGGGGCTGAAGGCTGCAGTCGGTCTACTGACCGGCCCGGCCGGCAGGATCCGTCGAGAAACAGGGGGGTCAAGGGAGGTTTTCTTCCCATAGCGTTGCTTTTCTCAATTGACCTTAGCGCTCTAAAACGTTTCGCTGTGAGGGTGGTAAATTCAAATCCACATATACCACGCCTCAAGTGGGGGCGGGGTGGGTCTTCACGATTCAAATCACGAAGAGCCAAGCAAGAGTTTTTAGGGGTAGGGTCCTACTTACATACAATTTCTTGGTACCAGTTGGTACAGTCCGAAACATGTGACTTTGGTACTCTCGGGGTACCATTCGGGGTTCTCCCCTAGGTATTGTACACATCCGGTACAAATATAACCCCACCCCCATGAAAAACTTCAAGCATGCTGGTTGAATTGCTTCATCCCTTGAACCTGGGGCCTGTCCGATCAAATCATATGGGCATACATAAGAAAACTGCAAGCCTGTGTGGGGGTTCGGCCTGATACAATATGCATTTGCATGAGAAGGGGTGTTGTCCCCGTACTTGCACACAGTGGGAAAAGAAGGGGTACTTGACAAGGTATGATGGAGGCGGCGAGGGAAGGCGGCGAGCCTTTACCTGAGCGCCAGGATCATGGTGCTAAGCTGCCTCACCGGCGACAAGCTTCAGCCCTTGGAGAGCGCAGGAGACGAGAAAGAGAACTCAGACTCAACAGAAATCACTGAGCCTTGACACAACAGCAAACTGATTGCATGTTTCTGCACTTCAAGCAAATGTTCCTGAACGATTGGCAACTGAGGTTGGCTTGAACTTCCATGCTCGTTATCTGCTTTTTCGTGAGGGGTTCGACCGCATCCGACCGGAACCTGTCCGATCGTTTCCGGTTACAACATGCCGTCTGCCCTCTACGATACGCAACTTTTCCAACCTCAAGATGCCGTTTCTCCATGGCTGTCATATTCAACAAACCAAGAGGAATCTTGTTCTGAATAAAATATTTGAATTGCTCTGTCACATGCCCGGAAGCCAGAAAGTGCAGGTAAATTCCTTTGCAATAATCCAATCTATTTGTTTGATACCGCAAGAAGCGAGAGCTGGCCGTAGAAACCTCACAGGGCAAGATGTTGCCGATGCTGCGGCCTGATGAAGGCGATAGTCCTTTGGAAATTCCCTGAGCGGTGGTCTGCATTTGTTTCTCTGCCAGCCCAAAGTCCACGAGCAAGTACTTCTTGTTCCTTCTGTTGTAGAGGAAGTTATTCAATTTCACGTCTCGATGTATAATCCCGAGGGCATGTACAGAGCGCAAAGCAACAAACAAATTCTTCATGTAGTGGGCAATCTCGCTCATGGTCAAATCTTTGACGTAAACCGAGGGCCTGTCATGTTCCAAGTATTCAAAAATCAAAGCCTGCTGCTCCTCGATAAGGATTATCCCATCAGGAGCCAGTGGCGGACATTTCACTATCTGTACAATGTTGGATTTTCCATTCAAGCTCGATATAAACCTTTGTTCCTCCTTGTACGCATCGAGTCTGTGAAATGGTAACAATCGTTTGATTGCTACTCGGCGACCATTTACCCTGTCGTAGGCCGCATATACCTCCCCGAATGTTCCGGATCCAACCATTCTTGTTATGTCAAACTGCTTTTCCACTTCATTGAGAAACCGCATGTCCACTGGGTAGATCATCAGCTCTTCTCGTATTGAGTTTTTCTTGCGTGCAGTGCCATTGTTGCCTTTGGTCAATGACATGTCCTTGTGTGCACCCTCTTGATCCAGCGATTCATCGCATGCCATGCCATTGTTGCCTTTGGTCAATGACATGTCCTTGTGTGCACCCTCTTGATCCAGCGATTCATCGCATGCCATGCCATTGTTGCCTTTGGTCAATGACATGTCCTTGTGTGCACCCTCTTGATCCAGCGATTCATCGCATGCCATGCCATTGTTGCCTTTGGTCAATGACATGTCCTTGTGTGCACCCTCTTGATCCAGCGATTCATCGCATGCCATGCCATTGTTGCCTTTGGTCAATGACATGTCAGGCCTGTGTTGCAATCCAAGCTGGTGGAAGCTCTGCATCCTCTCTGGTACCTCACCTCTTTCGTCCTCCATACTGTGACGTGCCGGTTGTTCTTTGTTGTCTTTGGTCAATGACATGTCAGGCCTGTGTTGCAATCCAAGGTTGTGCGCCGGTCCTTCTTCCGTCTTTGCCGGCGTCATGTTAAATTGTTTCATACTCCTATTCTTGACTTGACGTGCTGCATTGCTTGCGTTTCGTGCAGATTTTTGTTCCGGGGTTTCCAAACTCCTCTTCTTCTGTTGCCTCAATCTAGCATTTTTCCTCTTCCGTGCAAGTTTTTCTTCTTCTGTCCCCAACACTTCGTTGCCCTCCTTTTGCACTGTGAAGGGCATGCCATGCGTGACACACTAATAGCGTGACACACTAATAAGGAGCAGCAGAAGCTAAAGTTGGCGCAGGTGATGGCGCAGGAGATGGCGAAGAGGCGGAGGTTGGGCGTGAGCAAGACGAACGCATCGGTGACAGTGAGGAACTCAGGGGTCAAATTCGAACGTCCAGTCAGTGTCAACCGCGCGGGAACTCGGGGATACCGAGCGCCAGAAGTGCTCATGGGCATGGAGTGCCAGACCACAGCAGTGGACGTGTGGGCTGCTGGTGTAGTACTGCTTACCCTGCTGTGCCGCACGACACACTTCCAGTGGTTCCAGTCCAACGACATAATCACGGCAATGATGGAAATCTACGGGTACGCTCTTTGTGTACCTTGGAAGTGCGCTTGCCTGACTGTCTGAGCAGCTTGCGCATGTACATCAAGAGCATGGATGCTGTGTGGAAGCAAAACTATGGGTATACGGGTAAGTACAGAGATAAGATCAGAGATGTTATCGAAGATTTCAAGCTCGACGTTAAGGTAAAATTGTTGTCGTCGGCGTTGTTGTATCAAGAGGATGAGGATGAGGGTGATATGGAGGCGGGAGGCCTGAGGTTGCTAATTTGATGTCATTCAGATTCCACCATTGGACCTGCATCTCAGCTATGCCCGTGGTTTGAAGCAAACATGGCGGACCTTGTCAAGCTCCCTGGGCGCGGATGCGGATGCAAGGCTGGGCTGGAGGTGGAGGAGAAACATGCGATCTGGGACTTCCTCAACCGCTGCCTCGACATCGATCCTCGCACGAGAATGACAGCAGAGGAGGCTCTGAAGCATCCCTTCCTGGTTAGTGCTGAACCCTAAACCGTCTCTACCCGTAGCTTTCTCCTTCCTCTCCTC